TTTTCTTTGTGTGATATAGTGATCAGTAACCTTTATAATCATTGATGTTCCTTTCTGACCTCTTCAGGGCTCAGCTATGCCCCTTGGCTGTCAGAATCCCTTATTGCACACAGCTGTTGAGAGATGTTGCTGATAGGGTAATGAGGACAAAGGGAATGTTTCATCTCCATCCAGAACCGAGGATCCAAATGGCACAGGGTTTAGGATTTCTCAAGGGTAGAAAATATGTGTTGTTGTTGTTGTTGTTGTTTCCATTAAAATTTCTTAAAAGAATCTAGTAATAAAAATTGTTATTTTCTCTTCATGTACTGTTTTTCTTTCTTAGTGATATACTAATTGTAAAAATCAGTTGCCACTTTATGGTACACCTTTCTTCCTTGTGTAAACTGTTAGTCAACTTTCCAAGGTTAATTAAAGGGCTTTTCTTCTTTTTTATATCGTTTAACAGCATAGTAACTTGAAAGGGATGGAGACATTAGTAAAGATCATTAAACTTCTTTTATGATATTGAGGTCTTTCACTAAAATAATCATGTTCTGATCATAGAAACTTGAGTTCATTTCTTTACAGAATTCTTTTCTGTAATCAGGTTCACTGTTTTACATTAGATATTTTCTTTAAAACTTTATATGTATTTTTATGAATTATATTGCTAGTGGTATTTTTTAGCTTTGTTAATTTATTGTGTCATTCATCTGAAAAATCAAATAAGTTAGAAACCTGGGACATCACAGTGGTGATGTTCCTTCAATAATCCCCATAATAATAATGTTTAAGCTGATACCTAAGCTCATATAGTGAGTGATTATGTTATCATGTATTTATATACTGTAATTTGGAGAGTGCTTCTTTTAAAAATCAGTGAAAATTAGGATATTTTATGAAATATAGTGAGATTTTACATTACATTAAAATGTAAAAAATCTCTACTAATCAAACTTAATTGGCCAATGACTATTCTAAAGTCTGATACATTCAAGGGAGGTAGAAAAGCCAACTACTTATATGATGTTGTGGTCATTGATATTTAGACAAAGTAGAGTTCAAGTCTATATTTAGTTAGAATTGAAGTAAAATGCTAAATCTTTTTTTGAGTTTAAGTTTCTAATGATTTCTAAGATTGTTGTGATACTTAAATGAGATTAAAATATGAATATGCTTAGTATAAGTGGTTGACAGCATATTCTGGAAAAAAATTGTTATCACCTACATTGTTGCTAAAATTTCTCTCTCTCTCTCAAGCTTATTTTGCTTAGTTTAATCCTGTCCATGTAGTTGCAAATGGAAAGACTCCACATATGTTTATTATTTATTCAGTCTTCTATCGGTAAGCACTTCAGTGTTTCTGTGTCTTGGCTTTTGTAAATAGCGCTACAATGACCATAGGGGAGCATATAGTTTTTCAAATTAGTGTTTTTATATTCCTCAGATCTCCTAGTTTTCAGAGAGAAGGAGAGAGGAAGCATATAGCAAATACACAATATATAAAATAAGTATTTTCTTTGCTCTGTGTGTATGTATACACACTTACGTAGCAAAGCCATAAAGTAGACATAGAAGTGTACTATAAATGAAGAGTGTTAGTTAGTTCAGGTGGTAAACTAAGCTGTTGTTGTTAATGTTGGAATAGGAGAAATCAACTTGGGCATGAGATAAGGAACTGGAACTGAGACTTAGAAAATAATTCTTTCCAGCTCCATCTATGTTGCTGCACATGACTTAAATTTACCTTTACTGATTACTGAGTGGTGTTCCATTGTGTATATCTCATTGATCAACGCATCTGTTTAGGGGCACTCAGGGTGTTTCCATAGGTTAGCGATAGTAAACTGTGCTGCAGTAAACATGGGCTTGCTAATTTTCTTTCAAGTTAGTGTTTTTGAGCTTTTTGGATAAATGCCAAGGAGTAGAGTTACTGTGCTGAATGGCAGGTACATATTTAATGTTTTAAGACCCCCTCCATACTGCTTTCCATAAGGCCTGAATCAGTTTGCTTTCCCACCAGTAGTGTAGGAGGGGTCCCTTTTCTCCACATTCTTGCCAGAATTGATTGTCTCTGGTCTTTTCCATCTGGGCCATTCTCACCCATGTGAGATGGACCTCATTGTGATATATCCTGAAAAACTGCAATGCATTAATTTTCATTTTTCTAATAGTAATAGTAAGTAAGACACATTTTTGATGTGTCTGCTAGCCATTTGAATGTCTTCTTTGGAGAAGTATCCATTTAGTTCTTTTGCCATTTTTGATTGGGTTTTTGTTTTTGAAGCATTTTATGAGTTGTTTATATATTTTTGATATGATTTATTTCTCATATGCATGGTGTGCTGACATTTTCTCCAATTCAGTAGGTTGCCTTTGTTTTAGTTATGGTTTCTTTCACTGTACAGAAGCTTTTTAGTTTGATGTAGCCCCAGCTGTTTATGTTCTCTCTTGTTTTCCTTGCTTTTGTGGATGATCCCTAAGGCATCATTAAAGCTTCTATCCTGAAATGTTTTGCCTATGTTTTCTTCTATGTCTTTTATGGTCTCAGGTTTTACATCCAAGTCTTTGATTCACTTTTAGTTGATTTTAGTGTATAGTGTAAGTCATGATCTAGTTTCACTCTTTGGTATGCAGCAATTATATTTAGTTTTCCCAGTACCATTTATCAAAGAGGCTATCTTTGTTCCTATGTACATGTTTGGCTCCTTCTCTACCCAGGTTCTTTGTACATTTGCATCTTGAATTACAAAGACTCTTTGTTTCATTCATCTATTTAATAATGTGACTTTTCCCTGAAATTTTCCATCTTCTGTTAAATATATATAAAGCAATTATCAACAGACTTATAAAGAGAGGCATTGATAGTAGCACCCATGTTTCTATTGTGCTAGGCTTACAGATTGTCAAAAGAATCATCAGTTCTTCTCACTATTCCATCACCTTACATAATTTATTTATTGAAATTAATATGCTTACTATGATGGTGTTATACAGATTCACCACAAAGCAAAAAATTTCAGCATGCATTTAATTTTAGTAGAGCTTGAGGTTTACCTTAGGTCGCTTACTCAGCAACTGACATATGTGTGCAATTAAAACATATACATGTGCAAATATATCAACCATGTTCTAGGATCCAACAGTTTAAAGAAAAGGGGGTATTTCTAAAAGAGTGAAATTGTCCTCAGGTTCTTTCAGAATGTATACCTCTTGCTTTCTTTGTCTGTATCACACCAACCCCATTACCAAAATACCAATAACACTCCACCACAGTACTTTGGACCTTCTCTACCATTTGCTTTCACTGCTTTGTCCCCTCTCTGGTAACCTCAGTTCTGCAGTCTGGATCCAAGAGATTGTTTTTGTTTTGTCTGTTCCTCTGTTTTGTTTCCTTATATACCACATCAGTGAAATCATCTTGTATTTATCTTTCTCTTTCTGGCTTATTTTGCTTAGAATAATCCTGTCTAGTTCCATCCATGTGGTTGCTAATGGAAAGAGTTCACATATTTTCTCTTTTTACAGCTGATTAGTATTTCTTGAGTATGTATACCACATGTTATTTATCCAGTCTTCTATCTATAATTACTTAGGTGTTTCTATATCTTGTCTGTTCTAGTGCTCAATGAACACAGAAGAACATATAGTTTTTCAAATTAGTGTTTTTATACCATCAGGTAAATTCCTAGAAGTTGGATTGCTGAATCCAGTGACAGATATATTTTAAATTGTTGAGGAACTTCCATACTGTTTTTCATAGAATCTGCATCAAATTACATTGCCACCAAAAAATGTACAGTGTTCCTTTTCCTCCACATCATCATAATCATTTGTTTGCTCTTTTTCTCACACGTTTAAGATGTTACATCACTGTGATTTTGCTAAAGACTGGGGAGTTGGGATAATAAAAAGTAGCAGCTTAATGGATTCTTTACAATAATTAATTCTATGTTATGTGAATTTCACCTCAATATAACCGAAGTTTTTAAAAAAGAAAAAGTAAATGCCAGATATTTCACTAGATATTTTAGTATAAACACTGATAAACTGTCAGGAAAGTATGTTGGAGAAAATTTTTATAATAATAATAATAATATGATTCATTAATAATAATATATAATAGTGATGCTCCTTAATGTGGTGAATATCTTAAATGAGTGTTATATCTCTCTGCTATATTGATCCCTTAGTCATTATATAATGTCCCATCCCTATCTCTTGTTACTTTTTTAAACTGGCAGTCTATTTTAGAAGTCTGTTTTACCTGATCTAAGTCTGTCTGTGCCTGGTTTTTGAAGTTACCATTTTGTTTATAGGATTGTTTTCAACCTTTTACTTTGAGCCTAAGTTTGTCTTTGAAGCTCACACTGACATCTAGAGATGGCAGAAAGCTGTTTTTTTTTTTTTTTTCCTGATCAAATCACTACCCTGTGCCTTTTGATTGCTGAGTGCAAATTGATTGATTGTAGGAAAATTATTGAAATTATTGATATGTAAGTATCGATTACTTACATTACCAGATTATTGTTCAGGCATATATGGACTCTGTGCATTACTCTGCTCATTCCTATTGTCTCTTTTTAAAAATCTATTTTAACTGGTTTTTAAATATTACAGTAAATATAGAAAGTCATTTAGCTAGCAATGCTTTCTTTCAGTTTGTACTGTTGTATATTCTTGATGGTACAAACATATTTCCTTTCTACATATTGATTATTTCTAATCTTCTATATTAATAAAGTGTCTTCACATTGTTTTTAAAATTTAATAGTCAATATTAAAAATTACTAAAATAAGAATTACAAAGATAAATGTTTAAATTATTCTGCAGTATGGGTAATTAACCTCCAAAGAGATTCCTACAAAATCCTCATCTCTGATGCTTCAATTATAGTAAATCACCAGGGGTCTCTCTTTTAAATAGTAATGCTGAGTGATGTGAGTATACTCTGTGGAAGGAATAGACATGATTTAGTCTCTACTTCTGATCAACTTGCTTTTGCCTTCTTTCCTAGGAAGTGTGTAGAGAGCTCTGGTGTCTCAGCAAAAGCAACCGCTGTGTCACCAACAGTATTCCTGCAGCTGAGGGAACACTCTGTCAAACTGGGAATATTGAAAAAGGGGTAAGCGCAAAGGATTTATTAGTTATTTGATATGTACACTAAACTGATAACTCTTGTTGTATTGTTAAGTCAGCCACTAGGAAATCATAGTATTTTAAAATGTGCTTGAGAAAACAATAAATTCTTAACCTAATTGCGTTAATTATCATATCACGGTATCTGCAAACATGCATTGCTTAGGAAATTATAGCAAACAACTATTTTCTGGTTCAGTTTCAGCTTTCTATATGCATAGGTATGAGTAGTATTTGTGCAAACTCCAGCAGCAATCTTATAGTCTGTTTAGCCACAGAAGTCCACTTCTTTCTTACAAATAATATCCAGGAAAATTATTTGATCCCAAAATAGATTTTATAATTAGAGTCTGATTAGAGTCACTTTTACATCACAGTGTGAATGAAAAAGCAAGTAGTGAGAGAATAATTAGAGTTTATTGAACATAGGAATTGGAGCTTAATATTGAGTAATTGTATTTTTACCAGTCTATTTTTTTAAGGAATATATAATTATTAAGAATTGCTCAAACAGATAGGACTAGTCTATGCTATGCCTGAAATTTTTTAGTAATTGCTAGATATATAGATTTTAGAATTTATTATTATGAACTGAACTTATAATATCTACTGCTGTCATCTGTTCTCAGTTCTGACTTCTTCCATGTTAGTTGGGCTAGTTTCAACAAAGAATACACTGAATTTCAGCTTGTGATCCGATGTTTAAATAAAAAGAATGAAAGCTTTTGGGCAGCTGTCACAGTTTATTAATCCTTGCTGACGGCTTCATTCAGGACCCATGACCCAGTGCCATGTTGATGGCTTTTCCATGCTGAGTTTGGAAATGTTGGTAAATTATGCTAAATGCATGAATTGATAGGGTCATTTTTAAAGGATTAAGGACTATTTTTTTTTTTTGGAGACTTTGTAGGTAGCCAATAAAAATATAAGACCTTCACACACTACCAAAAGTCCAGTTTCGGTTTTTTTTTTCACTGAAGTAATAGAAAATATTAGGAACTTCATTCTTGAAACAACAGTCTAGGTTTATTTTGGAACCAACAATTCTTGTCATCGACAAGTAACAATTTACATCAAACTATACTTAAAAAAGAAATACACGACCAGGAAGAGGGAAAGTCATAGTGAGAATCTGTTTCTTTATTTGTCATTGATTGATTATTCTTGTAATCTAGTCCATGGGCCACAGTCTCTATTTGCCTGGAATAATAATATCAATAGGCTTGGTGGCTCTCTAATTTTAGCTTACTTTTTGATACTATACATAAAGAATTCATTATTATAAACACCTCAGAGCATTCCTAGATACATTTTAGGAATGATACAGCCACAGCAAATTGGTAAACCATGATTTATGGCTATCTGACACATAGCTCAACACCACCAATCTTTTGCATTTTACACACATATCATTATTATTATCATTGTCATTTGTCCTTAATAACTAGATTCTCAAATGTCATATATTAGCGTGATATGCATATATGTGATAGATTTTTAAATTACAGAAAATCTAGAACTATAGTTTAATAGTTCTCAATAATATAGATGAGAAATATAATTACTCTCAGAGTAAGTACAGAAAAGACAAAGTGATAAAATGTGGCAAGAAATATTGGATTTCTAAAGATCACTTTGATTTCTAAAGCTTCTAAATCTAAGCTAATGATTACCAACATTTGGATCCCATAAATACGTTCTTCAAATGAGCTCTACAAAACATTGATATGTACATTTGACAATATGGAAATGTTCTTGTAAAAAGAACCTTCCTTTGCCTGCCTCCATTTCCTATCCTTGAATCCATGCCAACTTCTAACATACCTAAACAGAATATATTGGGCTCCAAGAAAAAAACCTAAGAAACTTATAAATGTAGCAAAGTTTGTCTACCAAAATGTCATTCCTATTTACAGCTTTAGAGTGCTGTTTCGTAAAGTCAATATGTCTAACATTAATCTACAGAACAATGTTAGGTCACTTTTTTCAGAGACAGGGAAGGTTGATATGCCACTTCAGGAACTGTACTGACAAATCTTACAAAGGATGAATCAATTAAAAAAAAAAACCCAATCCTATAAGGAGTCCAAAAAAGAAAGAAGAAAGAATAGTAGGCAGAAATCCTCAAATATCGCATCATTAACTTTGAACTTAAGACGAGGCTTTCAAATTACTGGAGCAACATTTCTTTTAAAGAAAAAAAAATAGAGGACAAGATGTGAGTTAAACTAAAAAAAAAATAAAGTTGTTTTTTGTTAACTGCATTTAGCATGTCATCTATTTATGAATTCTGGTTGTTACTGATTTGTAAGTTGTATTTTTTTTTCCTTAAGAGAGAAGCATGTCTACTGTTGCCAAATGCAGATTTTCCTCTTGAGGCTCTATCTTTTTTTTTTTTTAAGATTTATTTATTTATGCATGCAAGAACTGGGATGTAGTCCAGTGGTGTGGGTGTGTGTGAGAGGATTCACCAGAGACAGAATAGGCAGCAGAACAAGCAGATATACTGAAATACCCTGCTGAAGAGAGCAGCAGGCAAGACAGAAGAGGTCCGTGGCACCATGTGGGCCACCCCCATGGCTGGCTAGAGATTGAACTTGTGCTACAGTGGCTGCTATAGCTTGACAGTGCTGTCTTTAACCCCTCTGCATCAGTGAAGCCCAAAACTCTATCTATTTATAAGTTAAACCAGAACTCAGAATTTTGACTCAAATCAGAGCTACTATGCAAAAGCTACTGAAAAAATTCACATAAAAATTTCAATTTCTTAATAACTTTGTGTGGCTAATGTATTCTTGCCATCTAAAAATAGTTGGCTTTCTAGTTACACTGATGACAATGACAAATGTTTTTAAAATACTTATAGTGTGCCAGAACCATATTTGCTCTGCTTAATATTGACAGAAATCCTATTAAGTAGGTACTGTTTAAACTCCATTGTACAGATGAGGAGAGTAAGACAGAAAGGCAAAGATTACACAGAAATTTAATAGCGGAAGTGGGATTACAGCCCAGGTCTTTGTGATCCCATTGTTGGAAATGTGGCTCCTATATACGGTCTCTGATTTTACTTTATCTCAGATGGTTAATTTTGCAGAGAACAGAGCAAATTTTCATTGTCAAAGGGATAAACTGAGTCATTCAGCCTGAACTTGGTGGTAACAATGTATTTTATCCTTTAATATGCAATGGATTTTCACAGTAAGAATGTATTATGCACAGGACATTGAACTCAGAGTATGCAATTGTGTTACAGTTGGCAAAATAATGAATCTCTACTTTTAAATGAGATAAATATGTTTCTCTGCATGTTTTGTAGAGATATTGTGAGCATGGAGTGAGATAATGTCTCGGTGAGCTTTTTGTGGGCTTTCTAAGAGGAAGGTGTTGATGTATATATACATGCCATTATTATTTACCAACTTCACATGATGATTGACAGAAAGTTCTTTGCCAAACTGTCTTAACTGGCAATAGTGAGCATCAGAGTATAAGCATGAGTTTGTGTGTCTCCAAACATGAATGGAATATCTACAACCTCTGATCTTGACTCTGACATTGAAAGCTACTCTCAGTAGAGGAAATAAGAAAGAACTTACATCCTGTCTAGCCAGTAGGATAAAACCAAAGCTGCTCATAGATTGTTTTTTTAATGAAATGTAAAAACAACAACAAAAACCCAGAGAAGGGTAGAAATGTTGCTCAAATGATAGCATAGACATAGCCAGAGGACTGGATCCACGATGATCTCGTCAAACTCTGGCTGCAAATGATATGGGATCCCTGCCCGAGGGCGCAGTTCCACAAATGTTCCATGTAAGTATGGGAACTGTTCCATGCACATTTAGCAGATGGAGTAAGAAATATGGCCAAAAAATTAAAAACTGATCTTTGCGTGAGTCCTGGGGGGTCTGACATCGCTATTACAGCCATTGGATGTTTGCCTGAATAAGCCATTCAAGGATTGAATAAGAACCATATGGTCTGAATGGATGTGCTCAGGGACAGTAGCATTAACCAAAGGAGGAAATTTGATGAGCCCAGACGGTGCGCTGGTACTGTGTGTCCATGGGTCAAGCTCCTACAAATCAATCAATACAATTTTTAGCCCGAAAAACTTTCCTCTGACATGACATCAGCGATAGCCCTTTGGATAAGCATAGGAGGGTTGCCATATTTGATGAAGCAGTAAGCAAAGTTTTAGATTGTAAAAATAGTATTGATATTATTACTAAACAGTATTACTAAGAATTATCAAGACACAATCCTTGCAAGCTCTGATGCTGACCACAAAGTTTCAAATACTTGGTCTAGTGCCAAAAGATTGATTTAATGACTCTGCAAGGCCCAGCAATATAGCCAAGCATTTGGTCTTATATACACATGACATTGATTTCTAATATCTTGCATGGGAAAGTGGGGCTGGATTAGAATAAGATAATATTTTATAAGCCCTTCTAAACCACTGGATATTCAATATATATTAGGACATTTGCAACCTTAGATCTTAATTCACTTAGAGCAAAATATAATATGTTTTGACTGTGGCCCAAGCTATAAACACAGGAAGTGAAGAAAGAATAGCTCTTCCAATTGCTCTAGAAATTTAAATAGTATGAGATGACAAGTTCTGATTTAGATTTTGGGCTGAAATAAGCTTTAGCATCCCTGCACCTGCACAATAGAAAGATAAGGTTTATAATAGCCTTGTGCTACAACTCTCAGCTTTTCTGACTTGGGAAGAATATTCTTCTTTGAATCACTAGTATCACTTCCTTTAAGATCTTTGCATTTCCTGAGAGGTCTCATTCCAGATGCTGGCTGCACCCAGCACTGACCATATCTACCATACTGACCATGATCACATAATCTACCATAGTCACATTTTAAAATATCTCTAGTTAAAAAGGTATTTTTAAATACTATTATACTCGTTTGAAATTTTCCTTTATGAAACTCTGACATACTACCAAAGGTAGATTGCTT